TAATGTGGACGTTCTCTTTTATGCAGAGAGTTCCCAGTTGCCCTATAACACAGGGCAATTCAGTGGTCGAATTTGGAAAAAAGGCTTCACTCACAACTGAAAACTATTTTTCAGCAATATTTTTTTTCTGGAGCTAAACTAATCACAATGAGGTTTAAATAATCATAAGGGATTCTTTATAATAAATCTTATGCCCTCCAAATAAATAAGGTTTTTAAAAAACCAAAACAATTTAGAGAAAAAAAAGATAAAAAATAGCTTATGCACAGTGTGAAATGATAACATCCACCTTCCCTATCTAAGGGTCTCAGATGACAACGAATGAAAGCAAGCTGGAAAACCAGGCCCTGCGGTACCATTTGTGTAGAAAGGAGCATTATATAACTTTTTAGAATATTTATGCATATAAACAAATATCCACATAAAATTTGCTTATACATGCATAGAATATTCTGGAAAGATGGCAGGCAACTGCTCAAAGTGGTTGCCTCGAGGGAGAGGAGCTTGCTGACTGGTGAGGAGAATATAGAGGTAAGATTATTACTTTTCTTCTTTTTACATTATGCGTGTGCGTGCGCACTCAGTTGCTCTCTTTGCGACCCCACAGACCGTAGCCCTCCAGACCCCTCTGTCCATGGGATTCTCCAAGCAGGACCGTTGGAGTGGGTTGCCATTTCATCCTCCAGGGGATCTTCCCGTGCCAGGAATGGAATCTGAGTCTTGTGTCTCCTGCAGTGGCAGGCGGGTTCTTTACCAGCTAAGCCACAAGGGAAGCCCTTATAAATTACAGACCGTATCAATTACTTAGAATAACTTTGTGGAGATCTTGCTGTCTGATTAGAGCTTGTGTGTGTGTTCGTCTCTGTCGCGTCCGACTCTCTACGACCCTATAGACTGTAGCCCCCCAGGCTCCTCTGTCTGAGGAATTCTCCAGGCAAGAATACTGAAGCGGGTTGCCATTCTCTTCTCCAGGGGATCTTCCCAACCCAGGGATCGAACCCTGGTCTCCTAAACTAGACCTTGTACTCCTCCGTAATTCCTGGTAATGCAGGTGGTCTGCACTAGTGATTGGCATGTTTCACCCTTCCCTGTAGCCACACCATCGAGTCAGCCCTTCCCACACCGCCCCGGGCTTGGCTGTGGGGCCTGCTTTGACCGGTGGAACCAGAAGCAAGCTTGGTGCTATGCCCACGTCTCCCTACTCTCCTGAGTCCCAGCTCTGGCCTTGAGGGCTCACCCGGCAAGCTGTGTCAGCTGAGCCGTTCTGGAGCACCAGCCCACAGCCGACCACGGGAGCATAGCTGAGCCCTTCGCGTGTTACAGTGGGGTTTGAGTGGGGGTGCCCCCGCCGGAGTACGCCAAGAGTGAGGGTGCTGTGAGTTACCCCCCTTCTCCCGTCACGGGCCCCGAACGGCCCTGCCCCCATGGCGCTCCAGCTTCTCCCCACACAGGCCTGGTGGCCTCTTGCTGGCAAGTGCAGTGACCGCTGACCTGTGCAGGCCTCCCAGCTTCTGAAGCCTGCTCGCTCTCCTACTGATCGCTGCCGGCGCTCCCCGAGGTGTGAGCACCTTTGCTCTTCACACCTCCCTCCCGGGGGCACACACATCCGGTCCTGCTTCCTGCTTTTGTTTGGTTTTTGCCTGGGGTGTTGCAGTCCAAGGGGTCAGAGTCAGACCTGACTTACTGACTGAACAATAAAAGCTACGAGTCTTTCAGTTATGTTACATGAATGACCTGTGTTCTACTCCATGCCTTAAAGCAAAGAGAATTATTAAGTCCTTTTACCCTCTTGCTTCCTGTTACCCAGTTCCACTCTGAACAGGCATCATACATATTCCGTGGACTAGCACCTTCTGTCCTCTTCCCAGGAAAAACCCATCCAGACCTTGGCTGACGAGCTGTCTTTCTGTTGCTGTGAAGGCATGTTACTTTCACGGCACAAAACAGGATTAGGTGCCTTATACTGCTTTGCTCCATTTCACCCAATAACCACACTTTAATTCCACACTTTATAAGGATCTTTGGCCTGAAACCCACTCAGTGCTAACCAGTTTAGTTTTCCCTGGTAGACAGCTAAAGAACTTAATCTTACTTTAAAATGAGAACACAGTGCTGGTGGGGAACAACCGGGAATGAACATGAAACATTTTAGCTCCAGGAAGCAGAGCAGCGGGGACTCGGGAAGCATCTTAAAAGCTGTGGCCGAGAGATGATTCATAGTCAGCACCCTCCTGAGTCCCGAGGAGAGAGTGTCTGACTGGACTAACGTGAACTGTGTACCAGCTGGTGACGCAAAGAAAACCTCAAGGAATGACATCAGAACAGCTCAACCAACGCGGCTCGGGGAAGGAGTCTGTGCATGCGTGGTTTCTATTTGCATTGCAGACAAAAACAACAGATTTCATGTTAACTTTAGTTTGTGGATTTGTAACTATGCCATCATGTTACATAGTTACGAAAATTATTCTCAATAAACTACAAGGCATGGTTTTGTGAGTATAGAGATCCACCTCATTGTGTTCAATGAGTGCATAATAACCTACCGAACTGATTTTCCAAAATTAACTAATCAATTTACTACTGCTGGATATTTAAGCTGTTTCAAGTTTTTAAAAATTTTGTGGTAAATGTACACCTGCATTTTTGTGCCTGTGCTTTTTGAGAAGGTAAATCCCTAGAATTGCAGCAGTGATTAATTACACTTTATATGTTGATATATAACACCATGTTAGTGTTAGTGCGCTAGTCACTCACTCATGTCTGACTCTTTGTGACCCCACAGACTGTAGCCCACCAGGCTCCTCTATCCATGGGATTCTCCAGGCAAGAACACTGGAGTGGGTAGCCATTCCCATATTGTCTTCTAAAATGGCTTTCCACCTATTTACCCTCCCAACGTCTAAAAATATGTCACATCTGTAACAGTACTGCATGTTATCCACAATGTGTGTGCTGGTTTGTGCTGGTGGTGAGAACTTTAAAAATTTCCATTTATCTGATCATTAGTGCAATTAAGATTTTCCTTGACTGTTAATTTCTTCATTTAGAGTTGCTGTCATACTGTGTATCTTATTTGACTTTGTCAGACTGTGTCTCTTACTTGCTGCTTTCAACATTTTTTTAACTTTTTGTTTGGTGTTGGGGTAGAGCCGATTAACAATCTTACGATAGTTTCAGGCGAACAGCAGAGGGACTCAGCCATACATATGCATGAATCCATTCTCCCCTGAACTCCCCTCCCATCCAGGCTGCCATGTAAAGCAGCAGCACTTTTTATAAGGACTATATCCTTTGTAATATATGTATAAAATATCTGTCATGTCTTTCCACTTTGCATACAGTGTCTTATACCGTGGGAAAGTTTAAATTTTTCACATGGTCCTACCTAACACTGTCCCTCTTCATAACTTCTGGACTCTGTGTCCTGCTTACTAAAGCCTATCTGAACTCAAGGGGCTAGAAATATTCCACATTCTCTTCTAAGAAATTTAATATTGTTTCCTATTATATCTTTATAATCTATATGGAAAGAACTTCTCTGTAAGGGATGAAATGTGGATCTGACTTTATTTCCAGCTGGATAATTGTCAAGAAATATTCCACATTCTCTTCTAAGAAATTTAATATTGTTTCCTATTATATCTTTATAATCTATATGGAAAGAACTTCTCTGTAAGGGATGAAATGTGGATCTGACTTTATTTCCAGCTGGATAATTGTCAAGCACCATTTAAGTAATCTCTCTCTCCCACTGACACATGAAAAATAATTACTTTTGCAATTAACTAAATTCATGGTGATACAATCATTTTTCAGAAATTTCCTTGTGATGCTTCCCTATTTACCATACTACATTGATTTTCAGAACAAAACTGTCAGTGGAAAATTATCCTAAAAGAACTGTGACTGGAGTTGACTGAATGGACAGACATGTTTATAGTACTAGAAGTTCCATCTAGAAACACGGATCTCCATTTATTCATAACCTCTGTTCTCCTTAACAGAGGTTAGAAGTACTCCAAAATAATCCATTTCAATTATTTTTTTCTGACTCTAGAACAGCCTAATTATGATTCCTTGAAGGTTCAGCATTAATCTGTGAAACCAGGTGTTTTAAAAAAGGGTTAGACTATTCAAGTTCTCTGCTTCTTCCATTTTCAATATTAGGAATTTTTACTTTTTGCCTTTTCTAAATAGTCTTGCATTATTCCCAGTTATTTTCTAATTCTTTTGTTCCAGTCTTATCCAGAGTTCTAGATACTTCCTAAAACATACTCTATGTATTACATCATGTTGAATTTTCTCACCAACAAAGGAATACAGTCATATATGTGGTGGTATCAAGCTTTAAATGTGTTAATGTTTAAGCTTTAGCACATGCTAATCCTCATCACTCACATTAAGTTTCAGTTTCAAAAACTGTTATGATCTCCAAGTACATATACTGTCTTCCAGAGTTCACTGCTTAAAAACAGCTTTCAAGCAGACTCTGAAGGATACTAAGCTATCACTACAGAGCATTTAGTCTGGGTCAGGCACTATGCTAAGCACTTGGTATGCATCAAGAAGTTTAAATTTTCACACCAAGGGTTTTAAGAGAGTCATATAATTACATTTACATTTGAACAGACCACTGTGGAAGTAGTGTGAAGAATGAACTTGGAGGGGACAAAAAAGGATGCAGAGAGATCAGTGTTTAGACAATTGGAATAGTCCAGGTGAGATGACTATGTTTTGGATTAGGGCAATGAGGATGGAAAGATGTGGATGAATTCCAAAAATACTCAGCAGACACATTCCCAGGACTTGGTGACACAGGGGATGGGGAAGAGCTGAGGGCCTGAGATGACTCTGTAGCATGAATTTTATGATGATGAGAAAGGTGCGCACTCTGTCTGAAGACTTCTCCGCATTCTTTACATTTGTAAGATCTCTCTCCAGTGTGGATTCTTCTATGTAGATTAAGGTGTCCAATCTGGCTGAAGGTTTTCCTGCATTCCTTACACTGATATGGTTTTTCTCCAGAATGAACTCTCTGATGAACAGTAAGCGACTGTCGATGGCTAAAGGCTTTACCGCACGCGCTACATTCGTAAGGTTTCTCTCCTGTGTGACATCTTTGATGACAAGTAAGTGATGATTTTGTTCTGAATGCCTTCTCACATTCAACACATGCATAGGGCTTTTGGCCTGTGTGAAGTCTCAGATGCTGAGCACGGGATGAGCTGTCACTAAAAGCCTTCCCACATTCAGTACATTTGTAGGGTTTCTCTCCTGTGTGAACTCTCTGATGTTGGATAAGGCGGGTAGCCTGGCTGAAGGCTTTACCACATTCAGTACAATCATAAGGTTTCTCTCCAGTATGAATTTTATGGTGCTGTGCGAGGTGTGCCCTCTGGTTGAAGGCTTTCCCGCATTCCTTACATTCATAAGGTTTTTCTCCAGTATGAATTCTCTGATGAGTAGCCAGCTGTGAACTGATGCTAAAAGCTTTTCCACATTCCTTACATTCATAGGGTTTTTCTCCAGTATGGATCCTCAGATGGCTAGCAAGGTGTATGCTCTGCCTGAAGGCTTTTCCACATTCCCTGCATTGGTAAGGCTTCTCTCCAGAATGCACTCTTTGGTGCTGGGTGAGTGAGGCATGATGGCTAAAGGCTTTCCCACAGATGTCACACTCATACGGTTTCTCTCCTGTGTGAATTCTCTGATGGACGGTCAGGGATGAGCCGTAGCTGAACGTTTTCCCACACACATTACATTTGTAGGGTTTCTCTCCAGTGTGAATTCTCCTGTGCTGAATAAGTCCTATGTGATCGCTGAAGGCCTTCCCACAGTCGATGCAGTCAAAGGGTTTCTCCCCAGTGTGATAATGTCTCCAGTGACGGATAAGCGATGTGTTCTGCCTGAAAGCTTTCCCACATTCCATACACGCATAGGGCCGTTTGCCGGTGTGACACCTCTGATGCCGGGCAAAGGACGAGCCATCACTGAAGGCCTTGCCACATCCCTCACATTTGTAAGGCTTCTCCCCAGTATGGATCCTCTGATGTTGAGCAAGGTGTGCAGGCTGGCTGAAGGCTTTTCTACACTCCTTGCATTTGTATGGTTTCTCTCCAGTATGAATTCTCTGATGTTGAATAAGATGTACATTTTGGCTGAAGGCTTTCCTACATTCCTTACATTCAAAGAGTTTCTCTCCGGTGTGTATTCTGTGGTGCTGGACAAGGTGTTGACTCTGGTTGAAGGCCTTCCCACAGTCCTTACACTCGTATGGCTTCTCTCCAGTATGAATTCTCTGATGAACAGTAAGAGATGAGCTCTGGGTGAAGGTTTTCTCACATTCATTACATTTAAAAAGTTTCTTTCCTGCATAGACTTTCTTGTGTTTTAATACCATGGAATTTTTGGAAAAGTTTTTTTTATCTGACTTGTGATTGTTATAGGTATTCTCTTCTATACTGTGTAGAGGAATGGATTTCTCAGGTCTGTTATGTCTGTGGTCTATTTTCTCTTCTATACTGTGTAGGGGAACGGATTTCTCAGGTCTGTTATGTCTGAGGTCTATTTTCTCTTCTATACTGCCTAGAGGAACGGGTTTCTCAGGTCTGCTATGTCTGTGGTCTATTTTCTCTTCTATACTGTGTGGAGGAACGGACTTCTCAGGTCTGCTATGTCTGTGGTCTATTTTCTCTTCTATACTGTGTGGAGGAACGGACTTCTCAGGTCTGCTATGTCTGTGGTCTATTTTCTCTTCTATACTGTGTGGAGGAACGGACTTCTCAGGTCTGCTATGTCTGAGGTCTATTTCCACAGTGAGGCTTTCTCTAGGGGCGCTTCTTTCTTGCCTGATAAACGTCTCTCGGCTTAACAACTGCCTCTCAAAAAGATCTCCACATTTCCAACTTTCTCCAAAAGTCGGACACTCAAGTTCACAGCTTGCAATTCTCTCCATTAACATATCATCACACAGAAACTGCTTCAGAGGTAATTCTTGTGTCTCATGTATAGATTCCCAATCTGAAAGATTCAAAAAACCAAATGTTTCCTTTATCATGGGCTATAACAAAGGAAACATTTAACACAGAAAAGGTGATTTGAAAATAATGAACTCCACAAAGTATATTATGCACAGGCATTTCAACTGAAAAAAATATGTAAGCAGACCCCAGAGAATGAGAGCTCATAGAAGAACATGGAAACGGTGATTTAGCAAATTAAATGTAGGACAACAGAGTCCTGAAGGTGTAGGTTGCAATAGAAGTAATATTTTATGCCTGTATTAACATAACAGGCTATACATGAAATTCTCTTCCTCTGTTCTCTCCCTCTTCTAGGAGACTTGCATATACAGCCAGGCTAACTTTCTTAAAAAACAAATACTACCACATAACTCTGCCACTCAAAAATCTATGTAGATTACCTGAAACCACAAACACCTTATGCTTTGTGACTTCTCTTGGAGTTTAGGCAAAATCCTACAGTCATCTCTTCATAATCAGAAAATAGCATTCCCATAAGCCATTTCCATGTATTTTAATAAAGTAAATGCTCTTCATTTCTCCTAGATCCCTGAACTTAAGAGTGCATATTAAGGGTTTTTTGCATTCATCATCTTTCTTTCACCAGCCTAGGAATACTATCACATCTTAATAGGGTTCTGCCATGTATCTTTTTGTAGAAACTAGTCTTACAGAGATATGTGGGTTGGTATCACTACTATTAATTAAATGTTTATTTACTACCACATCACTACCTTTCTCACCTTGTGAGATAGAATATAAGCTTTCGGGAAGAAATAAATAAGCCTTATATACTACTACTAAGTCACCTAACGTATATCACAGGAACTCAGGCATAAGTAAGAAATTCTTGATAAATCTATAAAGAAGAAAGGTGTATAGAAGAGGTGACACTAAGAGAAAACTTTAGGGAAGAGGTGATATCAAGAAATATAATAACAAATTATTGACTGATCCAATGCTCCCTAAAAAGTTTTCTACTACATGTCAAGCATGAGGAACACTAAAGTAAAGACAGCTGTTCTACAGAAGTACAGAAACTTATGAGGAAGACAAGACCAACAAAGCAAGTAATTTGAGAAGAAAATATATCAAAAATGAATCCATGTGGTAAAAAAGTAAAACTAGTATAAAAGTTCAGAGATGGGAAGGATCAAATCTACCAAAGCAATTAAGAAACACTGAGGTATTAACAAGCTTTCTCCCCAGGTCATTCATGGTATCAGGAACACCCAAACTTCAATAATTCTAGAACTGGGTCCATGAGAGCTCAAGAAACCAATTCTGTATGGTTTTTCTTATGTAGATGGACTGAGGGGAGCAATCCTAGAAAGAGAAAAGCAGAAAGATGACAGTGTCATCTGCTCCTCCCTCAAATTTACTTTCTTGTCGTGTGAAAGTTGTCTTCATTTCCAGCCTCCGATGGAGGCCGTGGCTGTCCCTTACCTTTTTGGCTTTTCTCAACATGGATGCTGAGCTATCTTAATCAGTGAATAATACTTAAAGCCATACTGTGACTCAATGTCCTACCAGATTTACAACAGGCTTCTTTATCCCCTTTCCCTCTTCCTGTATCTGTTCTTCACATGGACAGATATTACCTCTTATCAGGAAAGTTCCTCTTTCTGTTTTCCTCTTTAAGGCAGATAGTAGCTTCCTACATAACCAAACTATAAAGCATGTCTAAACCGAGCTTATTTCCCTTTTAATATTTGGAGGATCCTGGAAGAATAGGGCCACATCATCCCCAAATGTAAAGATCAAGCACTGTTACAGAAGTGAAAGAATTTAATAAAGGCATAATTATCATGTGTGATTCCAACATTCCCTTGCCTTTGTGAAATTCAGGTTCAGCAGGGGAAGGCAAAAAATAAGCACACACCCCCAAAACAAGTTAATTACGGGCTCTCCTGAGTGTTACAAAGAAAATGAACAGTGGCTTCATAGACCATACTTGGGTTGGAATAGGGAAATGTTCATTATATGAGGTGGTTAGGAAGGTCTCCAATGAGATTATTTTTGAGCTCTGGCCTGAGCTCTGGCATAGACAGAAAGCCAAGAGAAGAGCATTCTAGGCAGAGAAAACAGGAAAAACAAAAGCCTGAGTGGGAAAGAGCTTGAGAGTTCAGAAAAGGCGACCTATGGGCTAGAGCAATGCTTTTCAACTGTACATCAGGCACTTGTTGAAAATGACAATCCTAAGACACTGCCTATGATCCAGAGGGAATCAGACTTGGAACTCAGACTGCCTCTAACCTCATCTGGTCTCTCAGAGCTTAGAGACTCAGGATGTGGGAATACCTGTAACACATATGTAACATACCTTGATACCTTGCATCATGAAGAAAACTCTGGGCTAAAGTACAGTGAAAAAGCTAAAAGATAATGGAGGATAAGGCTGGAAAATTAAGGAGGAGATGGTAGGATTTGGATTTTTCCTATTTGCAACAGGAAAGCAAAAAATGATTTAAAGTAGCAGGGTATGTTATGATCTGCATGCAGCATCTAATTTTGGAGTTAAGATGTAAAAAACATAGAAGCTTATGTTAAGTCAGTATGTCGAAAGGAAAGAGGGGATGGGAAGGAGCTGGATAAAGATTTTTGCAAAATGAGTTTTTAGAAGAGACTGAAGATTGCTGGGAGAAATAACAATCTCAGATATGCCAGTGATACCACTGTAATGGCAGAAAGCAAAAAGAAACTAAAGAGCCTCTTGATGAGGGTGAAAGAGGAGAGTGAAAAACCTGGTTTGAAACTCAACTTTCAAAAAACTATGATCATGACATCCAGTCCCATAATTTCATGGCAAACAGAAGGGGAAAAGGTGGAAACAGTGACAGATTTTATTTTCTTGGGCTCCAAAATCACTGTAGACTGTGACTGCAGCCATGAAATTAAAAGACACTTGCTCCTGGGAAGGAAAGCTATGCTAAACCTAGACAGCATATTAAAAGACAGAGACATCACTTTGCTGATAAAGGTCCGTATAGTCCAAGCTATTGTTTTTCCAGTAGTCACGTATGGATGTGAGAGTTGGACCATAAAGAAAGCTGAGGGCGAAAGAGTTGATGCTTTTGAGCTGTGGTGTTGGAGAAGACTCTTGAGAGTTCGCTGGACTGCAAGATCCAACCAGTCCATCCTAAAGGAAATCAGTCCTGAATATTCATTGGAAGGACTGATGCTGAAGCTGAAACTCCGATACTTTGGCCACCTGATGCAAAGAGCCAACTCATTGGAAAAGACCCTGATGCCGGGAAGGACTGAAGGCAAAAGGAGAAGGGGGTAGCAGAGGATGAGATGGTTGGATAACATCACCAGCTCAGTGGACATGAATGGGGCCAACTCTAGGAGGCAGTGAAGGACAGGGGGACCTGGCATGCTACAGTCCAGGGGTCAGAGTCAGAAAAGACTGAGCAACTGAAAAACAACAAGCAGAAGAGAAGATATCTGGGGAGCTCATGCTAAGAAGTCAACTTTCAGTTTTCTCCCAGGTTTGGAAGCCTTGACAAGAGTTTCTTTTTTTCTTAATTAATTTTATTGGAGGATAATTACAATATTGTGATAGTTTTTGCCATACATCAACATGAACTAGCCACAGGTATACATGTGTCCCCCCCTTCTACCCCCCTCCCACCTCCCTCCCACCCTAGCCCTCTGGGTTGTCCCAGAGCACCAGCTTTGGGTGCCCTTCTCTGAGAAGAGTTTCTAAGAAGCATAAGAAAGGAGGAAAGATCACCTGTACAAATGGCTGAGTGATTGTCTAGAAAGGATTCCCCTCTCTGGTTCTCCCACACTCACCTGGGAATGGGCTTCTCATCTCATTCTCCATCATCATCCAGGGCTCCTTCCCTTGCTGCAATAAGGAGATGACATATGGCTTAGAGATACAAAGTCCTGCATACAGAAAAAGATATGAAAATTGGTCATGGTTTGGACATTTCAGTTGGTCCCTTAATTCTGATAGCATGACATGACAGTAATGAATAGTTCAAGGAGTGACAGGCTATATAAAGCTTCTGGGGTAGCTTAGTGGGGCTGCCAACAGTCAATCCTATGAAAGTGGAATCATTTTCTAAGAGACTGGAGGCAGAAATTCAGCCCAGCATTTTTAGAAGATCATTGGACAGCAGTAAGTGAGGTAATATAAAGGACCCCTAGAGACAGTTGGGAGTTTGAGTTAACTGTCTGATTAAAAAACAAAGTCAGAGGAACATATAACAGAATCCTGAAACTCTATAATGTATTATAGTGTCCAAGAAAAAAATCTAATTACTCCCTAAAAAGTGGAAAAAGTGAATCA